ACTAATTTGAATAAAAACACATAAAAACAATTATGCATTATACTGATACAACGTTTTGAAGTTGAATGCTTTTTCCAAAATTGTCACTCCAACCAAAGACTAGTGTTTTGGGTAATTAAAATGCAGCATACGATCTTAATTTAATTAAGTTAAATCTTTGTATTTTCATAAAATTTATACATGATACTTATTTACGTTTTTATTTCAAAATAAAATCGTTTTATTTATTTTTTTTTTTGAGTTTTAAACTCGATCTAAAATATTTGTTGTTTGTTTTCAAGCAAAAATTGTCTTCCTTATGCTTTGCTGCAGCTTATTAATACTATATTACTAGTATTAGATAAATTCTAACAATAAGAACAATAATTAAAATATGTATATCAAATATAAATTGGTGAGATGTTGAAATCTCTTCTAAAAATTACATTGTTAAGAAAAAGATTCATCATAACAGCTTATAGAACTTTTAAATTGTGATTGCTGTTCAAAAATAAAAACGTGATATCAAAGAAAATGTTGTACAATGACATGCACCAATTTGAATCATTAAAATAGGATGATCTGTGCTCCCGAAATCGTCGACGGAAAATTCTATCCACACATACATACACCCATACATGCAAAACACATACTATGCACACATGCATTGTTTTTTTTTTAGATACGCCAAAATGTTCAAAAGATTTGCAAATGTAGAGATATCCATAAATTTTCACCATCGACGAAAAATTTTGTCAGCATATACATACATACTATACACACACCTATACCAATTTTTTTAATGGCATGTGCCAAGGTCATGGTAAAAGGTAAAAATATCCAACAAATTTTCTATTCATTTTTTTTGCGATTACAATAACTATACGAAAAGTTAAAAAATATGCTAAAATAAACATTTGATTATATAAATTTTGTAAGGAATTATCACTAATTATTAATAATCATATGAATGACAAAAAATTATTTGACAAGAACATCTAATCTTCTTCTTTGAGATCAGCTCACTACTTAGAGGGCATCCATTAATCACGTGAGGTTTTTAGGGGAAAGGGGGGTTTGACAAAAAATCACAAAATATCACGTAGGCGAGAGAGGGATATCACGTGTGTTTATTTTTTATCAGAATTTAAAAAAAAAATCTAACATTTTCAAACAAAAATTCAAAAATTTTACTATTTTTTCTCGTAACTAAAAATACACGTAATGTTTGAGGGGAGGGGGTTGGTGGAAAGTTTGAATATCACCAAGAAGAGGAAGAATCAAAAAATTTCCAAAAAATGATTAAAGGATCACGTGATTAACGGACGCCTCTAACTAGCTATTTCAACAAATGTCGCCGCCTATTAGATTCCCACATCACTCCCCCACTAGCGATGTAGTCAAAAGAACTACTTGTGGGCGATCGGAAGCACCGATAATGAAAAAAGTATTTATCAAAAATATACTTTGGAGAGTAGAATTAAATAGGTATATTAAAAATATATTAAAAAATCTGTACATTTATAAAATCGATGTCATGACAATATATTAGTTTTTGTTGTCACTCGCTAACTCGAAATTCTTGGCAAACTGAGGTGATTTAATTAAAAATTATAGGCAGACGACATCAAATACGTGTCCATTGTCAATTTATCGGTCACCCTATAATTGGGGATTACACATACGGTCGATCAGAGAATAAAAGGCCTTATAGAATGTTATTACTTCATACAGATCGATTTTACCAAATAAAATTGAGAATCAGATCTACAGAATCTGATCCAAAAATCAAATGGGTCCCTAAAGGCGTTATAAATAAATTGGAAGAGTCATCGTTCGAGAAAATTAATTAAGATATGATGAATGAAATTTGTAAAAATTGAAATATGTACAGTATATAATTTAATATAGCAATTAATAATTAAATTAATTTGAATATGAATATAAAAAACTCGTGTTGCCACATAAACAATACTCAAAATTATATAAACAGATCTGGTCAAAGAGGACCACTATTAAATTTTAAAATTGTATCCCAAAATCACAGATATCTAATTTATAAGTTCAGCTCACATTACTAACAGATAAGCTATCAATGTTAGCTCCTCGAATATTTTTCAGCCAACAATTACATTTCGATCTCCCCGTAATGAAAAAGTTCAATGATATACATAAAACTCTGTTCTCTCTCGCGGACGCCAATAGAATAGCTCCAGCCGGATTGAAATTATCATCGGCTCTTTATATCAAATATAGACACGCGAACACTTGTCCGAGAGCGTCTGGCCGTCGGAGCCGAAATAGATTTAAAATGTTTAGTTGTAAAGCCTGTTTAGAATATATCAATATACAATAAGCAATTAAGCACATTGCCCACACCGAAGCAGAGCCCTGTGCCCGAAGCACAGTAAACGCTACTGGCTCAAGTACGTCGATAAATGAGATCAATTTGTTAGCAAAAGTCATTTGTAAAAGTCCAATTATAGACGAGACCTAATTACCACGATTTTTTAAAAATAAACTTCGTCCGCTAATAAACGAGTCGGAAACAATTCAGTTAAATGAACAGAATTATTTTTAGGTGTTTTCGGTTTATTTTAAGTCGCGTTGTTGATCCATGTTTACTCTTTCTAAGATGCATAATCTTTTGTGGTTAGTCAACTATAAACACTTACGAAATTTAATTAATGGAGATGAATGGGATAACTTTATATATCTATTGTAGCATTATGCAAGCTGATCCTGTTACTTTTCTATCATTATTTTAATAATTACTTAAGTAGCAAGTGCCAATAACTCTAAATGCAATTAGAGTGTGTTTTCTAATTACAGTACTCAAGTAAATTCTTGATTTATTATTCACAATTTAAATTTACCCTAACCTAGCAAAGCATAAGTAATATAGACTTTTCATCCAGAAATTTAAATTTTGTAACAAGCGCAACCTGGTTAAATTATAAATAGCTTCTATAATTTTCATAAATAGAAATTGGAACTGATAAATCAAACATAATTTAAAATTTTCTATTTTTAGTATTATTCTGTTACTTTCGAGTAGAATACAAAAAAATGCACATTTTCATAATGAAGAAGAATTTGCATAAGAAAGTGAAAACAACAATGCAGGGAAGTTCTGAATCTCAAAATTTTTTAACTATGGGGATCAACATTGTATATAGAGATCAATATTAGCATTGGCCTATAGAATATAATTGTTCTGATTGCGGATCGATATATTTATTTAAAAAAAATTGAGAGAGAACACCAAAAATAATGCATAAGACAATAAAACATTTCAAGTCCTATGGCAGTCTTAAAATATGCATATCAAACTCCTTGTATAAACATGTCGATGTAATATATAATTCCAGATTAATTTAAAGTTCGGAAAATAGCTGGTATAAGTTTCATATAAGAAACTGGAACTTATCTATTAAACCTAATTTATATAAACCAATCAGATTTATACTATTATTTAGTTCCTTTCGAATGTATTGCATATACAGTATAAATAATATACTCTATTTGTACCAAGAATAGTGAAATAAAAACAACAATGCGTTAAAATTTTCCAAACAGAATATTTTAGATCCAATGGCAGTTGTAAAATATGAACATCTGGTATAAGCTTGTAGAATATAATATACATTTCCAAATTTACTTATAATTGTTATAGTACAAAATCTAAGATAAACAGCGAAAATATACCACTTTCACCATACTTTGACTAATAAATAGAATCAAATATGATGTAAAATTATGTTTCATCAAATATGATGTAGACATCCGGATAGGCCGGTTAATGAATTGGCCATCCGTTTTAGAAAAACTAAGTAAGCTCTATCAACAAATTGGCTAAAATCCATATAGGACTTATATTGGCTAATATCCATATTGGAGCCTAATTGATGATAATCCACATTGACTGATAATCCACTTTGACTAATAACAAATAGAATCAAATATGATGTAAAATTATGTTTCATCAAATATAATGTAGGCATCCGGGTAGACTAATCAATGAATGAATTGGGATCTATTTTAACTAACTAAGCTCTACCAAGAATTTGGATGATAAAGCCAATGAATTGGCATCCGTTTGGGAATAACTAACTAAGATCTACCAAGAAATTTGCTAAAAAATCCATATTGGACTTATATTGGCTAATATCCATATTGGAGCCCAGTTGATGATAGTCCATATTGGATATAATCCACTTTAACCAATAAAAAATAAAATCAAATATAATGTAAAATTATGTTTAACCAAATATAATGCAGGCGTCCGGGTAGGCTAGTTAATGAATTTGGATCCGTTTTACACCAATAAGTCTACCAACAAATTGGTTGATAATCCATAAGCTAATATCGATATTGGACGCTAATTGATTGGATCCATCTTGGATCATATTGGTTGATAATCCACTTTAACAAATAACAATAGAATCAAATATGTTTAATTTAATATGTAGTAGAGTAGACGTCCGGGTAGGCAAGTCAATGAATTGGGATCGTTTTTAACTAACTAAGCTCTACCAAAAAATTAGCTAATGCTAATAGACTAATGCTACTACCATATTGAACCATATTTGATGATAATCATATTGGATTATTGCTGATAATCCACTTGACTAATAACCATAGAAAATCAAATATGATGTAAAATTATGTTCTATGTAGGCGTCCGGATAGGGCCTAATGCAGAAATTCTTTCCGATAGTAGGTGTTACTGAAGCTGATTTAGTGCTTCGCAAATATATACTTTTTACCCCTAAAAATTCCACTTTTACCCCAGTTGGATAATTTACCCCAGTCCTCGACCACTGGGGTAGCCAAGTCAATGAATTGGTATCCGTTTTTAAATCTAACTAACCAACAAATAGGCTGATATTCATATTGGAATAGGCGCATATTTTAAAAAAAGTATGATACACAACCAGTTTCGATGGAAAGTAGAAACAACACAAACTAGATACGCTTCATACAATATCACCCAGTCATAAAAAATAAATTTCACTTACCCTCAGCTGCGGTCTGTGTCAAAGCCGGTCCGGGCAGGCGATAAGGCGTCGTTCGCACTTCATCGCCGCTTTCCCTCTGATGATAACTCGCCGGTAGAGCAGGAGGCGGATCCTGATGTCGTGTATGCGCCCCATGACGGAACGTCGCCCACAAAACGCCGATGAAGCACACCAAAAACACTATCGCGACGACCGCCGCTATTGTGGAGGCACGCTGCCCCAACCGCGAGGTCATTGTGAAATATATCGCCTGATGCTACCTTATGCCGAATTTTCGAAATTTTCACGGGAAAAACTATTATCGAGGATCGCGCGACGCTGCTTTCAGTGTCCCGCATCAAACGTGTTCTGCAAAATGCCTCACATGCCGCGCGTCGATTTGGCCGTCGCGTCACACCTGGGTAAAAGAAACATTGGTAAATAAGAAGAAATATAAATGATTATAAAATATATGTGCAAAAATACTAAAGACTATTATTGATATGCATAGATTCATGTTTAGCTTCCCGATTCGCTAATGTTTTCTCAACGTTCCAAGTCATTCTGAATCGTTTGAGACCAAATTTGAACAAAAAAAAATTGTGCATGTGAACCAATTTTTCGACCTTTCGTCGACGTTTTTCTCAAATACAGCTGTACTGATATGAAAAGTTTAAAAGTCATTCAATGTAACTCGATAAGTCCCTTGAGGCTGTTGCAAGGAGAACGATTTCCACTACTATCTTCAAAACCTAACTAAAAATGTGGAAATGATATAAAAGGTACATTAATCTCGTGATAGATTTTTAGAATTTTAGGACTTCTCCCTCTATCTTGGATGTAATATTTAAAATTAACCCCCTTCCCCCCTCATCTTCACGTACATTTTTAGTACCTAAAAATGTTGAATTTTGAGAATTTTTTGAAAAAATCTATTTTTTTTAAAATTCAGGTACAAATAAAATACACCAAATATTTACTAAATCCCCCTTTCTTCCACGTAATATTTCGTGATTTTTGGTCAAAATACCTCCCCCCCCTTTTAGGCCACACGTAATTAATAGATGCCCCCATAGATATGAATGTAAAATTAATTATTTTTTTATGGATATGTTTTACATAATATTGTATATCAATATGTAGCCTGATAAATTATAATGACAATGAGTATTTATGTATTTAAATTGCTAGAAAATTAAGGGAAGCGCAACATTAAAAAAAAAACGGGGTGGCGCGTTACGAAAGGGGGGGACCACTAGCATAGGACAAGTGTGTGGTTAGTTCTACGAGATCATCAACCAAGTCATTTCTTTCTAATGAGCAGTATATGCAAATTTTTTACGTTCACGTTTAAGCCAAAATTCTGATTTGATTTTAAAAATTCAAAAAGGTGTTGAAAAGATATTGGTTGGGTATCACAATGTATATAGTTTTAGGTAAAGATTGGCCAAGCCGTTTCTTCTTAATTTTAGTTTTTAGTAAACTTAAAGCAATAGTTTATGATCTAAATAAAAATTGTAAACCCTAATAGCCCAACGAAAAGTTATACAATTACCTAAATAGGTAAATATACTTCTTATTGATTTAGTTGATTATTTAACACATATGTGGCGTCCATTAATCACGAAGCATTTAGGGGAAGGAGGGGATTTCACAAAAAATCAAAATATCACGTGGGGAGAGAGGGATCTAGTTATACATCACGTGTATTTATTTTTTACCTAATTTTTCAATAAAAAAATACGATTTTTTCGTGAATTCGAAAAATTTGTTCGAAAAATTTTGCATACTAAAATACACGTGATGTTTGATGGCAGAGGGCGGGGGGTAATTTCAATATTACGACGTATCACCAAGGGAGAGAGGGAATTAAAAAAAAAACGATCACGTGATTAATGGACGCCACCTATAGTGAAATTCATGCAACTTTTATTAGGGCAAAACGCCACTTACACCCCAGTTATTAATTATAAATATGTATCGATTTTAATTTTTTACGCAATCGGCTCAGTAAATAATTATCATCAGTGAATAACATTGATTCACTTGTACAATTAATAATCAGTAAATACAATTGAAAAATTGTATAATTGATTGGATGCCAGGTATTGTCATATAAATAGTAATGAAAGTAATGTAAAATTAGAAATTTTTGAGTGGAATACCCTAGGGAAGAAAGACTCATATATAAAACATATATACACATAAATTGTAACTAAAATATTAAAATTTTTCTGTCTGTCTGTCTGTCTGGATGCCAGGTATTGTCTTACTATATTAAATAGTACTTATGATAGTTGCAATTGTGTTTATAGACTCACAGCATAAGTTGAAGTTTTAGCGTAAAGTTTCTGATATAGCGCAAATTCATCACGACCCAATATATATTTCATATTCAAACATGTTACTCTATGAATAGCCACTTTTGATGTATTCATCGCGGTTATAACAAGAGAGCAATTCTGGCAGAACGCGTCCACAATGGCGATAATCATGCATATGATGGCAACGTTTTACCCACAAAGCTGTTTGTTGAATGCAAATTCGTTATGAAATACAAACACACATAAAATCAAATTTGTATAATTTTTCCTTGCAATTTTTTCGTAAACGGCTTCGAGCTTTTGAATGGGTTAATCATACGTTTCGGACAAGCTTAACGCTCGGTGTGAACGATTTTTATTCATCATGTTAAAATATAATCTAACATGTTGTTGATGGAACACATTTGAATTTCAAACCAATTATACAATAAATATACAATGTAGCACATTGTATGATATTCAGCGTATTCCATAATTTAATAATAAGAAGTTAGGATGAAAATTCATCCAGAATCGAAGTTTGCTGATGAAAAAATTATTCTTATGATTTGCATTTAAATTTATTTTTTATTGTTTAGTATAGATTGTTGACAATTTTCAATATATACTATGTATAAGCTTTGAAAAGAATTTTTTTTAATTTCATAATTATTATACATGCATTTGAGATCAATTTTCTAGTATGCACTTTCTATCATTAATTTATGATCAGAATTTATTGTATTTTTAAATAACGAAATTCTAACAGCCAAAAAGATATCAAAAACTGGTCTTTTGCTTACCTTCCCGAACAAAAAGTTAATGTTCTCGTCAGAAAATCCGATTTTTTGCTCTTATGTCTTTTTTTATGTTTCATATAATTCTGAATCGTTTTATTTACAAAATTGAAAAAAAATGTATGTATATGTATGTAAGCGCAAATTTTACCTCTAGTCTAGCTTTTTCATAGTAAACAGCTAGAGTGTATTCCAAAATTTAAACGGGATTTAATAAAACATAACAATTACTAGTGTTGGTGATCAGTCAAAGCATTTTATTGTAAGTTAAATAAAAAAAATCGTCGGTGTTTGGCAAAAAAAAATCACAACCAATTTTGAAAAGCCAAAAAGTGTTAGAAGGACATGATTAGTATGGAATCACCCTAATCAGGTTTTCATAAAATTTAACAGAAATAATTGGTAAAAAACTGGTAAATAATATTAATATGAAAATTCCAAATCCATATGACGGAATTTTTTTTAATCAACATTAAAGCCTCATTTTCATCATTGCTCATAAATACCATCCGATTTCGACAAGTTCAACCATAGTGCACTGAGGCAAATCGCCCCTTAAACGTTGGAGGGCGTCAATTAATCACGAGATGGGGTTTGACAAAAATTCACAAAATATTACGTGGCGGGGGGGAGGGGTCCAGTAAGATATCACGTGTATTTATATTTTACCTGAATTTAAAAAATACAAACATTTACAAAAAAAAATAAAATACGATTTTTTCGTAAATTCGAAAAATATGTTTGACAAATTTTACGCAATTAAAAATTCACATGATCTTTCGTGGGGGAGAGTGGATAATTTTAAATATCTCGACGTATCACCAAGGGGAAGGGGGGGGATCAAAAATCTCTAAAAAAAATCAATCACGTGATTAATGAAACGCCCCTTGTTTCTTTTTTGTTTTAAATATTACCAGAATATTAATTCAAATAAAACATAGCAAATTCAGTCAAAAATCCGATTCTGTATTTTAACACAATTCTTTAATTGAAATTAGTCGTAAGCGTCGGACGTCCGACCTGTCAGTGACCATTGGATTAATCAAAAACTCATAAACAGGCAATGTTAGGCCGTATGACTAAGCAACGCACTTGAGATTTATAAAACTGTTTTATTTGATAAATGAATCATATTGAAAAAACCTAGCTACTGGCCAATGGCGATTTCTATTTATTATTAACTTCCCGTAGGGCAAGTTATAGTAATCGCAAAAAAATCGAAAATGAAAATTTTTATATATCTTTACGTTTTAGAGGTTTCTGAACATTTTGGCATACCTTAGAAAAAATGGATGTATGTGTGTGTGTGTGTGTGTGTATGTGTGTGTGTGTGTGTGTGTGTATGTATGTATGTGTGTGTATGTATGTGCGGATACAAATTTTCGTCGACGATTTCGGGAACACGGATCAACCGATTTGAATAATTCAAAAAACATTCGATCCGTATTGATAAGGAGACGTGCTGATTAGTTTTTGGCAAAGGCAGGTCAAGCCGTTCCGAAGATACGGGGCAAAAAGTTTCGAAAACGGTAACTCAGTTTTTAAGAGAACGGAGCGTCCGATTTTAATAATTCAAAAAACATTTTATTTGTATTGACAAGATGAAGAATCGATACAACTTTCATGAAGGTAGGTCCAGCGGTTTCGGAGATATAGAGGAAAAAGTAAAAAAATGAGCCATTTGGCGGTCAAAAATGATCATTAGACATATGCACATCAAATTATCAGACATTTTATAGAGATTTTAACAATAAGTATACATTTTGTTAACATTCCTATCGGTTCCGTGCCAATGCTTATGCGTTAGACAGCGACGCGGCGCTTACGCGCTTTATATTTTGTCCCTATGTAGTTAAAGCAGTAAGATTGCTTTGAAAAAAAAGTTCAGATTTTCCACAATATGTCAAAATAAAGAAAAAAAAAACTTTTTTTCAAAAAAAAAAATTTTTTTAAAAAAAAAATTTTTTAAATTTTTTTTTTTTTTTCGAAAAAAACTAATTTTTTGTCCAATTTATAGTTTCTCAAAAATCTTATTTTTTCAAAGTATTTTTTTTTCAAAAATGTTAATCGTTTTAAAAAAATAATAATAATTTTTGGTACGGGAAGTTCCAGCAATTTGCCTTAAGGCACGATGCCCTAATTGCCTTAAGACAGAA